AGTGACTTAATTATGGGCGGATCACGTAAAATACAGACGAATACAGACCTAAATATAGATTGTATTTTAAGCTGTGCCATAAAAGAATCTTTTTATTAATAAGGGGAAAACTAGTGAATACATCAAAGATTAAGACGTGAAGATACGTTTAATGAGCCGTGGAAAAAATTTAAGCAACGAGGGAATCGGGGAGACTTGACATTGGATAGCAATTACCGGAAGTAATTATTACGCCTGGAAAAATAACAGAAGCTGGGCTAGAAGATGCGTAAATAAATTAGATATTGTAGAATACTTTGCAACGAAGTTATTTAAGTCCCCGGATATCGTAAAATATAGATAAATACAGATGTTTGTGTATAGCTGTGGAGCACTTAACCCACCAGGATAACACTGGACATCTACGATTAAGACGGCACAATGGGTTTAGAGGGCGACTTGGTATATATTAACGTAAAGTATGGAATAAATTGTTGAGGCTTGACATTAAAATGAAAATGTTGGAGGTGAACATCACTCTGGACAAAAGGGCCGAAGCCGGGTTAGAAGACGTGAAAGTAAATTCGACTGTTAGCCGTACAGGGGTAAGAAATAACTATAATACTCGATGATGGATTATGGGTAAGTTGAACAAACTTTGAATCTTTTCATATTCAAAGTATTTTAACCAATTATTATTATATATCGAATTATTTTACAGATAAGTCCTTATAAATATGTAAATTTTACCGCAGAGGGGTGGGATTTGTCCTAATTTAATTATTTTGATTAGTATTTAGTCAGGTCATGAAAGCTTCCGTCGCTTTGGGAGTATTCTAATTGTGTATTACAGATAATATTGTGTAATTTGATGATCTTCATGAACTCAAGTATGCAGAAAATATCCTATATACCTATGATAGCCTAAGATACAAACGTGGACAGCGGTCGTTTAAATGTATTCGAGAAAGACAGACTATGTGTCAATTAGGTCATTAAAGGAATAGGAAAATCCGATTTTAAACTTAAAAGTTGCATAATTCTTTATTAAAATTTACGAATTAAAATAAGGAAAATGCCTTTTTTAACATTTAAAAGCGACAACAGTTGACTGCTGTAATAGAGACTGAGATTGAACAAGAAATCCAGAGGGAAACAGTTTTTATTACACATTAATTTGGAACGAGCTATGCCGGTCAACACAACTAGTAATATTATAAATAAACATTCACAAACGTTAAATAATAGGATGGACCATAAGCATTTGGATCTTTAGTAAACAATAAACAAAATGAAAGAAACAATAGAGGCCGCATTCCAAATGACCATGAAAAGGGTTTAGAAAACGATGAAATATATAGGAAGACCTTCGTATGAAGAATATAAAGCCGTGATAAGGAGTAGAAAATGTATAAATAAATTCGACTGTTACTTGACAAGGTTAAGTAAAATATTATAATACTCCAAGAATGGTGAGTAATTTTTATGTAGATATAC